AACTCTCTAAATTTAGCACCTTATTTTTTTTACTATCCATGTTCTCCCAAATGAAACCCCAAAGTTCTAGTACACTTTTTGTAACACATTAGCTTAGGGTAGAATATATTATTTTCTCTCATGATTTACGAATAACAAAAATACGTTAAATACATCATAATAGCCTTTATATACCACGTTGAACTTTAGAAATTTAATTTAGAACATCATTTGACCAGTTTGACTCGTCGCACCCAAAAGCCAAAACTCCAAACAAGTGTGGCTAAACCCGAAACCCCAAACGAGTGTGACTAGTTTGACGATTCTTACGAGTATGACCGTTTCGAAGGGTTTGACTAGTTTAACTGACTTGATGTGTTAGATTATTTGACCACGATTCATTCATGGAACTTTATGATCAATTTAATTGGTGTGGATCATGGTAATGTTGATTTTAACTCATTTATATCTATATAATATGACATTATATTGATATATGTTTCGTTTTTTTCATTTATATCATATAAATCAAATATAAATATAAAAGCAAAATAAACCCTAAATGTCCAAAATAAAAAAATGAATTTTAGAATGAAAATTTATCCATTATCGAGATTATTGCTTATTAGATGAAAATTTTAGAGATTTCTTTTATTTTTTCCAATTAATTAACCAAGAAATCATGTGAAAGAATAAAAATTTGAAGAGAGAGAGAGCTTGACTGGAGAAAGAGAACGTAACAGAGGAGAGATAAATAAAAGAAAGAGAGAACCAGAGAGAGGAAAGAGAGAACCAGAGAGAAGAGAGAGAAATAAAAAAAACTTATTTATATAATTATATTAAATGAAAAAGCAGAGGGTACTATAGGGAATGCATATTTATAAAGGTATTTATGATAGTGTCATTTTTTTTCTTTTACCTGAGGGTATAGCTTGAAGTCCAATGTATCATTTAAGGGTATTTTTGCAATTGACCCTTTTTACAAGTACCCGAATTTTCTTTTTGTTTTATTCTAATTGATAACTTTTAAATATTTGCTGCTATTGCGATTACTATTACAATCTGCTATACGTTTCGGGCTACAGTGATTACTTGACAACATGCTTTTTAATATCAAACTACAAACTTTTTTTTTTGTTGAAATGTGAATTTTCATTAATACGCATAGTTCCCAAAAATGTATAGTTCCAAAAAATGTACAGACTCAATCCTTTAAACAAGGCCTGCATTTGAATAAACTATTAGAAGAAAATCCCATGTGCAGGTGGTATAAATAATTCTGCAATACTTCACTTCCCAGTTATGCTATCGCCTTCTAATGCATTCAGTAAAAAAAATACCAATGTTCCAGCAACATGTTAACTGTTGATGCCCCCTGTCTTTAACCGATAGAAGAATAGTCCTCATCGTGCTGTCCACCCTCTTGCGTACTGCTACCGATAGTTTCGATTCACTCCGAAAGATATGGTTATTTCGTTCAGCAGATCTCATATGCTGCAATCTGTAAGATGAGTTTGGAGATGACTCCCCTGCTCTTCTCATCATCATTGTGTTGTGTACCCAACCATTGAACACAATACTGCAGAGTACTCGGTGGATAATCCCCGCAACAAATAACATAATAAAGCCATACATCTTTACTATACTGACTTCAAAAAAGAGATGTTTGTTAGTTATTTTAGAGTAGATTGGTGGACTTTAAAATATCTCAAAGGATTCTTGTTTCACGTGTATTACAAGTGTGGTGGAGGAGTAAAATGCTTGTAAAAGACGTGTCGTGAATTGGTTAAGTGTTAAGGATTAGTCGGAAGATATTGAAGGTGGCTCGTTTGGCTCGTTTTTTCCGATAAAACAAAACTGGAAAAAATGAGCGACCGCTCAGGAAAATGAGCGGGTAGCTCATTTTCTCTGATGAACAAAACTGGGAAATGAGCGACCGCTCGGAAAATGAGCGACCCGCCTGATCTTTCTGAGTTGTTCAAAATGAACGAAAAATCGTGTCTGTTCGGAAAAAACTTCCCTATCTTTGCACCTTTTGACTTTTGGAGTGTTAAAAACATTCCTAGACGTCTGAACACAAAAAGTATGAAATCTAATTGATTTTTGAGAGATTTGTGAGCCTTGTTGGTGAAGAAATTTGCTACTTCTTCTCCATCTTTTACTGTTCATCTTCTTTCTCGGGTTTTTCTGTTTCGGGCAACGTTTGAGGAGCAGATCAATCGTTGCTGGTCTTCTTTGTATCTCTAAACGTATTCTCGGGATTCTCCTTTGCTCGGTGGGGAGGGAATAACGTTTTAGGAAAGTGAAATCACGCCTAGAAGATTATGTCCGGGTTCTTACGTTTTTATTTCGATTTCATTGATTTTGTTGTTCTTTCCCGCTGTATCCAGACCCACATTTATATTTACAATGTTGATGGGTCTCCTCTTCATGCCTGCACAACACACACGTTTTACTCCGTCTGAAGCCCCCACCTCCGCAATCGATCCCTCGTTGGTAAGCGTTGCTACATGACCTGCCATAAATGGAAGGAGTTCCTTGGTACAGCTTCCCAGAACCAAACAATGTGGTGCCACGGGACTTGAGGTTTGTACGCTTGGATCATGCTCCAGGTTTTAATGGCTGAGAATCTGCGCTTGAATTCATCGTTGCCCTGCTTCCATAACACTTTGTCCTCTCCCAAATATGTGCTTGGTGTTCCCGTCAACGAGAATAGGAAGTTTTGGATTCTTTATGTTCTAGCTGTTGGAAGAGACCAACCTCCATTCGCGACCGCGGCTGCCACCTTTGAGTGTCTCGACAGCCTTAGCAATCTCGGTCTAAGCTCCTCAATGTGATCAATCAGTGGTCCGTGTGGTGTCCAATCGTCAAGCCAGAATTGTGTGGATTGCCCATCTCTAACCTGCATCTTGATAAAGGAACGCGCCTTGTCCTTCATCGACAATAACTTCCTGAGGTTCCAAGAAGACGATGTTGTGGTCTTTGTGTCCCAAAATCCACGTTCCTTGAAGATATTTAATCGGGTCCAAGCCACCGATTCCCCCTTCTTCCTTTGGTAAGTAAACTGTTTCCCATGCAATCCTCGCGCTAACTTTGCGTGCCTCGGTATTTTTCCAAAGGAATTTGGAGCATAAGCTGTCAATTTGCGCTAGAACAAACTTTGGCAACATGAATATCATGCTCCAAGAGTTAACTAGCCCATACACAACCGATGAAATAAGTTGTACCTTCCCGACATAAGAAAGGCATTTAGAGGCCCAATTCTCAAGCTTACTCTGAAGTTTATCAATCAATGGCATGTATTCCTGCTTTGTGAGCCTCGATGAACTTAGCGGAACCCCAAGATGTCTCACTGACAATGCTCCCAAACACAGTCCCAACAAGGCAGCAATGTTGGTCTTTTCGTGATCGACAACCCCATCAATGTATATTTCCGTTTTTGTTTTGTTCATATGAAGCCCTGACAATTCCCCAAACCCGCATAAAATCCTCATAATTTCAGTTAAGGAGCCAGTGTCGGCGCTAGAAAAAATCATCACATCGTCCGCAAATGATAGGTGAGTGATGGTTGGGTTGCTACAACGAGGGTGCAGCTTTATAAGATTGCTCGCAGCCTCTTTGTCCAACATCCTCGAGAGCATCTCCATGGATAGTATGAATAAATACGGTGATAATGGATCACCTTGACGCAAATTCCTTTAAAGTAACCAGCCAGCGAACTTGGTGGTTGTTAGACATGATCTGATCCAATTGATGAAGGTTGTCGGCAAACCCAAGGCAGAGAGCAACATGATAAAACCCCAGCTAAGTGTATCAAATGCCCTCTTTATATCTAGCTTTATCATAGCACTGCTTTTTCCCTTTCTGTTATAGTCACGCACAAGCTCTGTAACTAGTAGGACATTTTCCAACATTAGCCTTCTTTTGACGAAAGCCATTTGATTTTTTGAGACAACCTCATGGAGAACCCCCCTTTAATCTTTGGGCCAGAATCGAGGATATTATTTTGTAGATAACGTTACAACAACTTATCAGTCGGAAATCTGATAAAGCCACTGCCCTTGGTTTCTTTGGCACGAGCGAGATTATGGTGGCGTTGATTTGCCCGAGCAGTCTCCCTGTGACAAAAAATTCTTGAACAACTACGACTAATGTGTTCCCAACAACTGCGATCAAACAACAAACTTGAGTGGCAGATCGTAGAGATGTCAATTTTTGCTTGAGACTCGAAATTCGGCCCCCGCAATTCAAAAAATAACAATTTCAGATCAAAATATTTTATGTTTGAATTGTTTTGATTCTATCAAATAAATTCAAATTCAACGTAATCGCCGACAAAGAGATAATGGAAAAGAACTAAGTAGAATGAAAAAAAAAAACAAAACGTGAAAGCCAAGGAAAGTTTCACGAAGACATATTAGAACACGTGACTTTTGTTTATATTGCGGTGTCCTTTCGGCCATCTTGTCGGCCCCAGTTCAACTATCTTTTCATAATTTTGTAAAGAAAACCTTAAACATTCGAAAGTAAAAATAAAAATAAAACAAGTGGGAGAATATAATAATATATCACAAGAAAATAATGAGTCTAATTGTGATCTGGATAATATATCTAAGTTATAACAAATGAAGATGTTCAAGAAAAAAACAGATTCCAATTGAGAAATTAATTCTAGAGTCCAAATCTCTATTTTTTTTTAAATTTTGTGTAGGATAATCGGATATTGAATCAGAATTCAAAATAATATCATGACACACAAAAACGTGTGTGGATATTCCGACGATTGAATAATTTATTTAATAAAACATTGTCATCTCACTAAATTGTTGTTTTAATAGCGAATAATTTTTTGCTTTAAAAATAAATATCTCAACTTTTTAAATTGTGTCAAATAGATACTTCAGCTTTTATTTTAACAAAATAACGCTCTAAATGTTTGGAAATGTAGTATTAAATTAATCTCTATCACGAAAGAAATTTCCAGCCAAGATCCTTACACATTTCTTCCAAAATAACTAAATTGATTTGCGTCTTAGTTGAAAATTATTATTGATTTCAAGAATTGAAATATTAATTTGATACAATTTCAAGAGTTGATATTAATATGATATATTTTAATATTTAAAGTATTATATTGTTAAATTAAATGTTACGTCTTGAAAAGGTTGAGTATTTGCTATTTATATGAAAATTTCCGTCTCAGATAGCGAAAATTAAATTGGCCATTTAGTGATTGCTATAATACATTAGCATTTTGAATGAATCAACATAAAAATGTCGTTGAATACTCTCCGCTCCTGTTAAAAAAATATTGCATTATCTTTTTAGCTTCTTATAATTATAATTTGTCGGCAAAGAGTAAAAAAAAAAAACTAATGGAACGCTCCTTTTTAAGTTTGCCTTTGTTTAAAATAATTTCAAATGATTAAAATGCAAAAAATAAAGATTCTCACACTAAGAATTCAGAAAATAAAATGCGAAAGCATTATGTGTAGGGTGCCAATGGGTTGGTCCGGTCCGAGTCTGCACTCGTCTCGAGGGTTTCGGGTTCGGTTCGATCTAATTTTTTTTGAGTTTACATAACCAAACCCAAAATTCGATCCTATATATTTCGTACTTAGCTCGGTCAGACCGGATCGGATCGGTCCACTCAAATTGTTTTGTAAAGTTATTTTTTATTAAGATTTTCTTTTTAAAAAATATTGGTCCTTCAGACCGCTTGAAGTCCCATTTGAGTGTCCGATTTTTTCGAACTAAAAAATTTAGGCCCGAAATTCGCTATTTTCGAATTGGGGCGGATCGGACTTCGAACCTCTCCCTAAATTAACACTCCTAATTACGTGGACTTAAAAAAAAGAGAAAAAAGAAAATTCGAGAGGGTTGGTTGAGAGCCTCGCGGTTTCCCTTCCACCAAACCCTAGCCACTGCCGTTTGACCGATGCAGCCGCTCTCAGCTGGCTCAGCCATTGGTCGGCGGAAGGCACCAAACTCACTCACACAGATTCTGTTCAGACAACAATTCAAAACCTAAATCAATCAAATGCTTCAGACAAGTTATGTTCTTAACAAGTTCCAACAAGAATGGATTGGAATCTTTGGTTGAAACACTAGTAATATCAGCAACAAGACAGAATCCGCCAAAAGATCTGGTAATTACCGAGAGAGGGCAAAGCTCAAGTACCCTTTTGCCTGAAAATGGAATCTAAACATGAGCTAGATGATCATCAAGACAGTAAAAATCGAAATCACTGCTAGGATCAGAACTGTTACAGCATGAAAACTTTACTAGATCAACAGTTTCTCTTGATCTTCGAGTTTATTACAACGAACCCACAAGATCAAACAGCTTGAGAACACGAAATTCGATTCAAACACAGAGCGAGCGCCAACAGATCGAGTTCGCCATAAAAGAAAAGCTCGAGGGGGACAGCAAAAGACGAGAAATTTCGAGCAACCCAAATCAGGAAAAGAGATTAGAACACGAGAAAACATCTTAGTGTAAGAGAATTGCAAAAGCAGAGTACAGGGAAAGGCGGGGAAATCGCGAGAAAATTCTCCAATCGAACTGCAAAAGCAAAGTAAATATTCTGAAACCAGAAAAAAATTTCTCTGCCATCACCTTCGATTTTTCGGCTCCTTTTCCTTGAATGAGGAAAAATTAAAATTCTGAGAAATAAATAAGAGAATGTACAGTGAAATGACAATAGAACCGATCTTTCGTTATCGAAATAAAAGTGCTAATATAATGTTTTTTTTTGTGGTATTTATCGGTTTCCATTGGAAATTATGGTTTTATTTTGGAATTTTAGATTATATCTATTCGATTTCATAACCAGCGAAAATATGATATTCCACGGATAATTAAAAAAACACAACTTGATAATCATGGAAAATAAGGTGACTAAGAAAAAACAGGGGGTGAAAAAAATATAAAATCTAAGAGTCAGTGAAAGTAAAATTTTAAGATATTTTTGAACTCTAAATTTTAAATGTTTTTAATTATTTTTGAATCCATAAAAAACCTTCAAATATACTACTTACATAAAAAATATTCGACTTAAAATTCATTATAAAAAAATATCAACTATTAATTTTAAACAAAAAAACCATCAACTATAATAATTATTTAAAAACAAATTTTTATTTTAAATTTGTTATTAAAAAGATATCAAATATTAATTTAAATTAAAAAATTCATTATCTATTTGAATTCTTTAAAAATATTTTATTTTAAATTTCTTATAAAAATCTAGAATAGAAAATTTAAATATATATATAAATATAATATAAAATAAACAAAATTAAAATTAAAATATTAAAATAAAAGAAATATGGTTTAAATATTACAAAATAAAACTAAAATTAAAATTAATTGGCACTACGAGTTTCTTCGTCCTCACTGGTCCCGAGATTACATGCTCTAGTTTCAGCTCCCGAACTTGGCGACGTGTTGTGAAGTGGGCGATCACCTCGCATAAGCTCAACAATTTGTTCGAGATTACTCACTTGTTGCCTCGTCGCCGCAAGTTGTTGTTCGAGTGTCTCGATCCGCCATTGTTGTTCGAGATCACTCTGCATATCGGGAGGAATTGCAACACCGAAATCATCAAACAAATCTCTCTGCGATCCGCCCAATCCATAGATGCAGCCCTTATTTGGAGAGACCGATTGATAAAATATTTTAAATAAATTTAAAATACTAAAATTTAGTATTTATAAAAAAATTATTAAAATTTTACCTCCACATAACAACAATCTTGATCCGTCGGAGAGAGACCGGATGAAGAACTTGCTGAGTCGCCAACATTTTGCAAGAGTTGGGTAAGTTTTTGGGTCACCGTACTTACAATGCGTTCCGCACGAGGATCGACATATGTTCCATCAGACTTTTTATGTATCTGAATGACCAACTCTACAACTGATGGCGTTCTCCCCATTTTTTTCTCCTAATATATATATATATTTAAAAAAATATTAACACAATAAAAATTAAAATTATAAAAATTAAATAATTTTTAAATGATACCATCTATTTTTGCCGCTTCTTGAATGATTTAGAACCGCAGGTATGACGATGAGGGCCTTCACACTCGATTTTTTGGGTCAGACGAGTTTGTTTGCCTTCGAACTCTTGTTCTTGAAATTAACCGAATTCCAATGCGAAACAAGCTGTTGATGCAAGTCATTTGTTGCCCAATCTGGTGTCAGTCGTCCATGCAGCTGATGGCGACGTTTGGCGTTGCTCATCATTTGTTTCAATCGCTGCATGCCGAGCTGGTTGAACTTTTTATAAACTTTATTCCACCGAAAAAAATTGATTTATAAAAAACCAGAGTTATTAATAATTTTTTTATATTTAATTAAATTTAAAAAAAATTACGATGAACGAATGCCACCAAGCACGTTTCAGTTAGTCGGGTACTATCGTCCAACAGTAGTAGAGTTGAGAAAAATTAGACGTTATTATTGACGTAAATTTTTTCCTCAACTCTTTATCATTAACCCCAAATCTAATAATTACATTTTTATTAATAATAGTTAATTATATAATTAGAACAATAATTTAAATAAATTAATTAAAAAATTACCATAATGTCACGTCAAGTTCAGGGTCAATGAACGGGACCGTGCGAGTGTCGAAGGAGTT